CTGTTTTTACATTTTCTTATTGTTTAAAAAAGAAAAGAAAAGAAAAAGCTTATTCTTCTAATTCTGATATGAAATGTCAGATAACATGGACCTTACCTGCCAAAGATGATATGTTGATGATGACCCCTCCCCGACCTCCTTTTAACTTGTTCATGTGGTCCAGAGCCTGGTAAGTCCCCCTGATGACACCCATCTGCAACACAGAGCACACAGTTTATTTTGGTGTCGACTGTAACAGCGGAAATCTTTTATTCTTTCCAGATGTTGAGAAACTAAACAGAGGATGCACAATTTAGGTTGGTACGTTTGCTGCAGTACATATGTAGACAGAGAAAATTGTACATTGCAGTTTCATTTCCCCTGTGGGGGTGGTGCATTCCAGTACACCAAAGTAAATAAAGCATAATAACAACCAATGTGTATGTTGCTGTTTTGGCCTCTTACAAGGTTTATGGAGACCATTTTCTCCCAAGTGGCCTCATCGAGGATACCGGCATTGTTGCACATGATTTCTATCCCTCCGAAGGTTTCTGCAGCTTTCTGAAGGGCGGCTTTTAAGCAGGAAACAAACAGTGAGTAGTTATCTTTCAATTTCACAACCAAGTTGAGCTCCTGCTCTTATGCAGCCTCTTTACATAGTTAGTGACAGCGTTCATTGTAAAGCTGTAAACTAATGAGTTGATCAAAAAATATTTTATCTGCAACAATTTTGAATACCCACTTTAAGTGATTTTCAATGCAAAAACGATTTTTGGCTGCTTCCATCTTTTCACACTTGGATATGTTCTGGTTTTTACACTTTGCCAGATAGAAATCAAAAAAACCAAATCTTTATGTTTTCAAAAATATGTTGGACAAAAGAAGTCTTCTGATGAAAATGCTCACGATTTAAACAGAAAATAATCAGTGGGTGTATTTAAAATAAGAACAGATGTGGTAATGTAATGTTCTCACACTGGTGAGAAAAAACATCTGTTGGCAAAACAAATCATAACGTGTGGGTGGGATTGATTCACTTCATGTGTTTCTACGCATGAATTTCATTCCGTTTGTCCAGCTGCTTTCAGGACCACAATGCTTGAAGAATCCTAAACCGTGCGTATGTGTTTGTGTGTGTTACCTTTAATGTCCTTCTCTGATTCCACATTGCAGTTCAGGAACAAAATCTTCTCTGGTGCATACTGTTCACTGAGGGTTTTCATCAGACTCTTTCCTGCAGTTTCATTCACGTCCAGGAGAGCCACCTGCACAGGTGAAGGTGAGTTCGTTTACAAGTTTTTATTGAAAATGTTTTGATTCATCCTCATGATCATTCTGGAGGCTGTAGTTTATGGTGCTGTTGAACTGTACTGTGTTGTATTGACAGGTCATATTTATGCAACCCCCATCGATATAAATGAAGTGGACAAGAAAATTGAAACACCCCTTAGTACACTCAATAGAAAAGACCTGAGAGTGCCCCAAAAACAACCAACCAGCAGCCTCCCTTCATAAACCATTGTATCTCAGTCTGCAGACTGACTGGGGTTTTACCAAAAATCCACATGGCAACGTAAACCTAAATGGTTCCTTTTTTTAACAAATAATGTAAAGAGGTACTAAAATGATCAGTATTTACATAATTAAGGGATTGACAAAGAGAGGATATTTTACAAAATGTGTAAAATTGGAGGAAAGTCTTTTTAAGAAGTCGAGCTCCTCAGTCACAGAAAACTGCCAGACTGTATAAACATCATCATCATCATCAAGTATCTGTTTAGATTTATTTCAGTCTATACCCACGTTACTAAAAACGTTTGCCTCTTAAGCTTGTTGAGGCACTGAGAGAAGCTGTAACTGTAACTGGTTCAGCATAAAATCGCCTCCCCTTTCCATCATGAAGCCAGAAGCCACGGGCATTACTCAACATTCATGCATAGTCATGTTGTCCCCGGATAGCATTTGGGACAGAAACTGGTCCAACACACAGACCCAACAGTCAACTGCCAATTGTGGGTTGAAGCAAGTTGGGTCATTGACTTCTGTAGCACCAGGAACACTCATGAATCTTTCATTAGCAGTTTCAGCCACAGCTGGAGGACAGTATTCTTCCATATTTTATCTTCCACATAATCATGTTGATCCACACAAATTTCAGGGATCACTTCATGCTCAAAAAGGTAAGGCAACAGTTTGCAAAGGAAATGCAAATACAAGGATGGATGCAAGAAGAACATGTTGGACCCCGTCTCTCCATCAGTGGTTTAGAAAATAATGTAACCATGCTATTATTTACCCAACACTGACCCCGTTGGCCATACAGTCGACCCCCCCCTGTGAGTTATCAAGGCTCAACGTCCCCAATAAAAGTGAATCTGTCATGTGTCTGCACATTGTTGTCACAGCATGCCCACTGGCTATAACACCAGTAAACATTCAAACACATTCATGGTGGCTGGGGATGAATGTTGCTGAACAGGATTTTATTCTCTCTTACATTACAGACCATGCAGCAAACCCTGGGTTCAAGAGAGAAGTAAATTACAAATCAAGTCTTTTCTTTACATTGTCATTCGTATGAAGTCACATTACATAAACAGTTCGGTTTAGAAATTCTCTTGAACAACTGACAAAACCTTACCTTGGCACCATTTTGCAGAAGAATCTCTGTTATTGCTTTTCCTATTCCCATCACTGCCCCGGTCACCACCGCATTTTTCCCTTTCAGAGCCATTTCAGCTGTTGGGTACTGAGTGAGAAGGACGGCAGTTGTAGGATCCTTGCAGGAAAGGGGTGAAGTCAGATGAGTCACTGTGCCTTTTTAAACTCACTCTGAGTCCGCCCATCGGGAGGGGGAGTGTGTAACATATCTGAACACCCTGCTAAAGTCGGATCAAGATGGGCCATCAAATCAATTGCTCAATAATCTGTGGTGCAGCATATGTGGAACAGCTTTGCATTGCAGGTTTCACTTCGGAAGAAAAGTAATGCAAAATAGTTTTCATTTGAGAGGTCAGTGTTCACTGCAACAAATGGAAAGGTTTTTAAAACTCAAAATTTTGAGTCAACTTAGTGCAGAGTCTTCTGGGTGCTGCACCTTCACAGATCTTAATGAAATTTGGTTTGCTGGTTTGGTCAAAGCTGAACTGTATATATATACATACATATATTTGAGTGTGTGTGTGTGTGTAATAAATCAAATAGGCATAGTAATAGATAGATACACACTTCAGATTTAATTTATTATATATCCTGTATATGTAATATACATATATAATAGATTATACAAAAACTATACCTGTATAAAATAAAAATAATATATTATACCAAAATACAATAATATTAATTAATTAGTAATGCTGTATTATGACAATTTCTATAGATATTGTAACTAAGTACAAGTTACTTGGATTTTTCCATGTGTACATGTTGTTCCCAACCCAGGACGTCTCAGTCGTGTCACAAGATAAATCTGAAAGGTTACGAGATGAGAATTAGGAAAAAAGCAACAAACCTGTTTTGCCACACAAACTGATTTATCTGATTTTTGTCCCTGCAGCACTTTATGTGCCTGCATCTAAAAAATATTTCTTGCTGTTTGGTGGGAAGAGGCACTTTGCCCGAAGGGGGTTTACATGAAGCATAGTTGACAAGACTCTGCACGCTGCTGTAACTGTTATGCCCATCAACAGAAATCTGTGAGAAAAGAGTTGTGAAAGTTCGATCACAACCACAAAAAATCTGCATGTGTTGCAACAGATGAAACCGCGTAGTCGCTGTATGAGGATGATTCTTGTCGCTTTTTGTTCGGTCTGTTGGAGGTCAAAGGTCAGCACGCTCTGAGGCGCTTCCAAATTGGCCTAACTTCGTTTTGCTTTTACAAGAACCTAAACGGTTTTGGGGGAGTTGTGCATGTGGTCTTCACCGTATTGAACATACAAATACAAACTCAGCTCTTTTTTTACAAGAAAACTCATGCATAGTTATCGCTGTTTGAGTGGCTTGATCAGCCACTATATATGTTTCCTCTGTGTGTCAGTTGAGGGGAGGTTTTTTTGTGCTGTTAACATTTCTTCACTTGTTATCTAAGATTAGTTTTGTTAGTTGACCTTTTATTGGGTCAAATGTGTGAAGTCTATTTCTTTGCATTTTTGCTACTAAAAACAAAACAAAAATAAAATACATTTTTTTCAAAGAAACTGTGGCTCTCTGGCCTACCTGCTCAGTCCCTGACAAAAACACTTTACATTAAACGTAATATACACAAAGTCAACATTCTATGTAAATGAGAAAAAGATAAGTTGATCATGAAGGATGGACTACTTCATCGGTTGAGCCAGCGACACTCTGGTGAAGAGTTTTTCTGGCCCAGGATGACAAGAGATAGACTTGTATAGCTGTGTTTTGGAACATCTCCAGATGAAAAATGAGAACCACTCATAATATGAGCTGAAGCTGAAGGATCATTTGCAGAGAGCCTAGTAGCTGGCCTCTGCAGCCACTGATAAGACTCAACAAACACACAAGTCAGCAAATTACACAAGATTTGGTTTCCAGTACCTGAAATTGGTGACAGAGAACTGCTCATTTGGAAGAAAGTAGGCAATGTGAAAAGGGACATAGTGCTCATGGTCTTCTCTTGAAAAACAATGGCCAGAAAGTGTGTACAGACACTATAAAAAATCCCAAAGGATCACCTTGGCCTTCTCTGATCTCAGTGTCACAACATGTCATTTGGCATGTTGCATCTGTTCCAGGACAGGCCAATTACAACCAAGTCGATCAGAATCAGAATTGTATTTATTGACAAGTAGGTTATGAACATACAGGGAATTTGTTTTGGTCTTTTGTGGATCAAAAAAACTAATTTAGTAGAACATATGGGAAGGTTAAAGCAAATTAAGGAGCAAGTACTGAGAAAGATAAGGTGCATGAGCAATACGGTGATAAAAGCTGTATAATAAAAATGAAGTGTTTAAAAATAAATGTAAAAAATGTATAAAGATATGTGCAACATGAAAATGTGTGCAATATTATAGAGATTTTGCAGAAGATGTAGAAAGTTTGCAGGTGATAGTGGGTTCATGTGACTGTAAAGCATATTGTCCATGAAGGTTCAGTGTTGATAAGCTGCAGAGCAACAGAACCTGTTCTTATGGCAGGAGGGGTGTGTCACAAACAGGTTGAGTCTGGTAGGACTGGAGGCATCGACTGCAATTACCTGCCTCATTTTAACATTTGAACATTTAAGACAGTGTAATCAGTATTTAATCAATTCCCACCAACGTGAAGAAAAAGAAGAACAACCTGTCACCCCAATATTCATCTGTATTCTAAGTAGTTCTGTGATGTTGCACATAGTCAGAAAATAATATCAGAGTTGGCTTGTTTTGCTTTAAGCATCATTAAACATCTGATATCAGTTTCTCTTTGTTATTTACTTTCATTAGCTGCCACAAAATGCTGTCTAATGTATTAAAAGTGTTAGGGGAGGCAGTAACTCAGTCCATAGCGACTTGGCTTGGGAACCGGAGGGTGGCAGGTTCAAGTCCAGCATGGACGGAAGTTGGAGAGGTGCCAGTTCACCTCCTGGGCAATGCCGAGGTGCCCTTGAACCCCCCAATTGTTCCGTGTGTGGTCACTGTGTGGACTGTGTTCCGTGTGTGCTCCGTTCACACGGATGGGTTAAATACAGAGGTCAAATTTCCCCATGTTTGCATGTTGCATGCTGTGTGTGGGACCATAAAGAGGAATCTTAATCTTAATCCCTGAAGTCCACACAAACACTGACATCTTTAAAAATACTATTGAAAAATATCAATAAAATAAGAGAAGGAAGGGTAAGCAAAAATAGAAAGCCCCAAAAAGATTAGAGTAGAATAGAAACTGAAAACACTAGCAAAATTATCAAATGATTTTAATAATAACCATGAAAATATCTGGAAAGTTCTAAAACAGTAATAAATAAGCATAATATCAGTCTGAGGATTATCAGCTTTGGTTTGGTGACTTTTTGAAAAAGTCCTCTTACTGTTCATTATTTGTTAATTTATGAACAACACTGGGTTCCTGTGGATGGACGTTTATAATAAACTTGATTTGCCAAGCTCTGGACAGAGGACCTGTTTGTTTGCAATGTGAGGTTGAATAAGTTGATAGTGATGCTCATGTGAACTGGATCTAACATGTGTATGACACATTCAAAATACCTCTAAATATGACTATGGAGAATTATTATTTCTGTACAGTTGCATTCACCACAAGTGGATGAGAACAAATGACAGCAACATCCAGTTTTTATATGGCTGTGCAGAATACAGAGCTGCCACTAGATGGAGCAAAATGATGCCACATGGTGACCACTGTTGGACTTGTCTGTTACATCATAGTTTCTTGTTTAGAGCATGTTTAAACAGTTTCTATATACAGTCATGGTTTAAACCTATAGACCAATAGAAGCTGTACGGTTTCAACACATGAAGACAGTCAGAGGAGTAAACATTCATCTTGTTATCCCCTTTATAACAAAAACGTATAATGAGTTTAAATGTGGAAGATTAGTTCACGTCTGTATCATGTGTTGTTGCCTTCGTGCTGTAACAGTGATGAAATCTTTGTGAGGCAAGAAAATCTATTAATAATAATAAACATTACAAAAGCAGAAAATATTGCAAAGAAAACTTTGCGGTGATGATAACTATAACCATTTTTGCACTTTTGCTTGTTTCCATCCTTTGTGACACTCCTTTAATAAACATTATTCATATAGCAAATTACAAATTGCTTAATCTGAAGAAAATATGGTAAAAGAACAGCAATTAAAACTACAAAGCATGTCATATAATAAAACTGTTATTGAATGTGACTTACATCTTGAAACTGAATTGGATGATAATCAGCTCACGTCCAGTTTATTCTAATGAGAATTTGTCTATCTGGAATTTCAGATGCACTTTAAGGCAAGTCCGAGAACAGTTTGGATTCTTAAAATGATTGGAGACGACATATTTTATTTTATTTTCTGCATATTTTCTGTGTTTTGGAGGTTTTTCCTCATCCTAGTCAGAGGTTAAGGACAGAGGATGTGAATTATGGGCCATACAAAAAGAATTTGAAATTTTGTATCTTCTGATAAAATATACTGTGGAAAATGACAACATATATATAATCAAGAGGACATTTTTACAAGTTATAATCAACATGTATGTGGTTACGAATGGGTCTGTCCCTCTAACTCTGTGCCCTCTCACAAACCAGGTCCACAAAGGCATCCCAAGCTCATCTTGCTTACGGTGCAAATCTACCATTTAACAGCTTTCAACTGTGATTTGCTGACCAGCTGCTGACTTGTGTTTTCATCCCAGTGGCCCTTTGCCATTTCACTGGTGATTACACTGCTAAAGAGCCCGAGAGAGCTGGACAATGCCTGAGAGCTTTACATGTCACCAGTGTCATTGGCTACAAAGAATAGGACGAAATATCTGCCTATTTACAGTGTGTGTGTGTGTGTGTGTGTGTGTGTGTGTGTGTGTGTGTGTGTGTGTGTGTGCGTGGAGCCTTTGACTGGGAATTGCGGTCTCAGGGTGTGTGACAGGTTCTACAACTAGACAGAAGAGGCTGTTTGTTGGTTTGCCAACAATGACGGTGATACACCTCACCGCTAACACAAACACACACACACACACACAGTGGTTTTTCCCTGAGTTTCATTGAGTTACACAAACCCAAACTCTGGTATGTTTGCAATGAACAATCCACAACAACTATGAGTCAAGTAGTAGAAACATTA